CACACACACACACACACACACACACACACCCGCCTTTGCACACTTCCTTTGACAAAACATGGTTCCTTCATAAGGTGTCCAGGCCAAATCACTTTGTTTGCCTTCACCCGCATACCGCTTAGGTACCATAGTGTTCTGTGAAGCACTTGACCGTATCTCCACTAACATTCCATATCATATATTGTGAATGAGGCTGCAGATGGCTCCTAGTTTACTTGAAGATGAGTTTATTGTGTGTGCTTCTTGTGTTTTGGGGCAATTGAATGAAAGAGGTCTCATGAAAGAAACATTTTGTGTTACTGTTTCATGCTTTCCTTGCTCGTTTTGAAGTAATTTTAGAGAAAAGATGGTAATAGAAACGTCTCTGCTCCACTTTCATTTATCCTACTACTTTAAAAGTGCCAATTTCCCAACAACTAAATACTAGGAATTCTCTAATGTTGGTGTCTAATTTGGGGAAAACTCAAGTAGGTCACTTGTCTAAAGGACTATCAGGCCTCCAGCTAGAATCTATTTCATTTGAAATCCAAACTAGAATTCTTCTAAAACAGGTAAAATAATTTGCCATGTATGTGATAAGATTCCACATCATTTAGCAGCAATGTCTCTGGAGAATTTACTAAATGGTTTTGTAATGAAAACCAACCATTATGATACTCTACTAGCACAGTGTCAAAGTCCAGGTCAAGATATAGAGTTAAATCGTACACCCCACAAACTTGCCATTTTTAAAGCATTTAATGCATATAGATATTGCTGATCTAGATATTTTATAACAATTTTCTAGGAGAAAGTAGGCAAAGGTCTTGTAACAAGACCATATTATTATAACAATTTTCTGACATATGGAAGTAAACTGTTCTTAGGGAGTCATCCCTTCTTGTAATTTACATGGAATCACCAACTGTATAGCTTCATAGCAGCCCTGAATCAAACAACCTTGCCAATTTATAAATGTTTTGACATGGACGTCATTTCCAAAGTGTAACTGTTATGAACTGAATTGTGCCCCCAAAAATCATATTTAAGCCCTAGCCCCAATATTATTATATTTAAAGATAATAAGGACCACCAAAAGCAGTTTTCTTTTAGCTGGCAAGTCCAGCAATAACTCATTCACTGCCTTCCTGCAGGGACATAGCAACTCTCTAGCCCTATTTCATGATTTAGTTTGTGGGTAACTTGGTCAGTCTTTTCCTTCAGCAAAATATCATACCCACCCATTACATTGATGACATTATGCTGATTGGACCTAGTGAGCAAAAAGTAGCAACTATTCTAAACATTTTGATGATAAGACATTTTCATTTGAAATATATTTGAAAAAATTCAGGGGCCTTTCACCTCAGTGAAATTTCTAAAAGTCCAGTGGTGTGGGGCATATTGAGATACCCCTTCTAAAGTGAAGGATAAGTTGTCCCATCTGCCCTGTCCTAGAACCAAAATATAGGTACAGCACCCGGTGGGCCTCTTCGGATTTTGGAGGCAACATATTCCTCATTTGGGTGTGTTACTCCCACCCATTTACTGGGTATTTCGAAAACAATTTTAAGTGGAACCCAGAATAAGAAAAGGCTCTAAAACAAGCCAAGGCTACTGTGCGCACTGCTCTGCCACTTGGGCCACAAGACCCAGTAGATCTAATGCCACTAAAGTATCAGTGGCAGATAGGGACACTGTTTGGAGACTCCACTATAGGTGAATCGTAGTGCAGGTCCTTGGGATTTTGGAACAAAGCCCTGCCATCCTCTGCAGATAATTACTCCCTTTGAGAAACAGCTTTGGGGCTGTCACTGCATCTTAGAATCTGAAAGCTTAACCATGAGCCACCAAGTTATCACATAACCCGAGTGGCCCTTCACAAATTGGGTGTTATCTGACTGACCAAGCCATAGGTAGGGTATGCAGAGTAGTACTCTATCATCAAGTATAGATAATGACGGGGCCCAAGCAGGCCCTGAAGGAACAAGTGAGTATGTGAAGGACTGGACAAATGTCCATGGTCCCGACTCCTACTACACTACCTTCTCTCTCCCAACCTGAAGGTAAGGCCTCATAGGGAGTTCCCTATGATCAGTTGACAGAAGAAGGGGAGACTCAGGCCTGGCTTAGAGATGGTTCTGCATGAAATGTAGGCATAACCTCAAAGTAGACAGATGCACCACTTCATGGACGGTATAGATGCCTGACCACTGCACTGTACGCCTGAAGCTGAATATTATTGTATGTCAACTATAATGTCAGAGGGGCAATAGGTTGGGGGAGGGGGTTATCACTTTGTGAGGGGTGAAATGTCTATTACATTGTTCTGTACACCTGAACTAAAAAAAAATAAATAAAAGTAGACAGATGCAGTACTATAGCCTCTTTCTGAGGCATCTCTGTAAGACAAAAGTGAGAGGAAATATTCCCAGCAGACAGAACTTAAAACAGTGCACTTGGCTGTTCACTTTGCCTGGGGGGAGAATTGGCCAGATTCAGGGACTGTGGCCAATGGTTTTACTAGATAGTCAGGGCCTTAAAACGAACATGATTGGAAAGTTGGTGGCAAGGAAATTTAGGGAAGAGGTATACAGGTAGACTTCTCTGGATGGGTAAAAAATGTGAACATGTTTATATCCCATGTAAATACTCACCAAAGGGTGATTTCAGCAGAGGATTTTAACAATCAGATGGATAGGATTACTTGTTCTGTGGATACCATCCAGTCTCTTTCCCCAGTTATCCCTGTCATCACCCAATGGGCTCATGTACAAAGTAGCTATGGTGGCAGGAATGGAGGCTATGGTCTCAGCAACGTGGACTTCCATTCACCAAGGTCAAACTGGGTATGTTCACCCCTGAGTGTCCAACCTTCCAGCAAGCAGGGACCAACACTGAATCCCCAATATGGCACCATTACCCACAGTGATCAGCTAGCTAGCATGGTGGCAGACTGGCCACATTGGAACACTTCCATCATAGAAGGGACAGTGTTTTGTCCTTACTGGAATACATACTTATTCTGGACATGAATTTGCTTTCCCTGGGTACAATGCTTCTGCCAGAACTACCATCTGTGGACTCACAGAATGCCTTATCCATACTCATAATATTCCACAAAGAATTGCTGCTGACCAAGGAACTCACTTTATAGCAAATGAATTGTGGCAGTGGGCCCATGATCATGGAATTTATAGGTCTTACCATGTTCCCCACTACCCTGCAGCTGGTGGCTTGATAGAATTGTAGACAGGTCTTTTTAAGACTCAGTGATGGCCAACTAGTTGGCAATAATTTGCAGAGCTGAGACAAGGTTTTCTAGAAGGCTATCTATGCTCTTATTTAGCATCCAATATACAGTGCTATTTCTCCCATAGCTATCAAAGGACAGTAATAAAAGAATTAGGAAAGATCATTTGAGCAAAGACGAGTCATTAGAGACCAAGGCCAAGATCATCCACACCCTCATACTCCAAATTATTATGTATGGATGTCAAAATTGGACAGTAAAGAAGACTGGGAAAAAATGGTTCATTTGAAATATGGTGTTGGAGGAAAGCTCTATGGACACCTTGAAAGTTCTATGGCTACCAGAAAGGCGAACAAGTGGGTCCTAGAGCAAATTAAGCCTGAAACATCACCGAAGGCAAAAACAACAAAACTGGGGGCGGCTGAGTGGCTCAGTTGGTTAAGAGCACGAGCTCTGAGCAACAGGGTCACCAATTAGATTCCCACATGGGCCAGTGAGCTGCGCCCAAGCTGAGCTGCCACTGAGCCGGTGAGAGCATGTGCTGTTAGTAGCAAGGTTGCCGGTTTGACTCCTGTATGGGATAGTGGGCTGCTCCCCCCGCAACTAAGGTTGAACATGGCACCTTGAGCTGAGCATCCATGAACTGCCAACGGGCAGCCAAATGGCTCAGTATGCATCAAGGTTGCCGGTTCAACTCCTGCATGGGATGGTGGACTACTGGGAAAAACAGAAAGCAGCAGGAAGAGAGGAAGAGGCTCTCCATGCCTCTGAATCAACGAAGCAGGGAGTTCCTGTGCTGGCTGGGATGACTGACCCCTACTAATACAATGACCTACACAATAGGAAGCGATTCAATTCTAAATAGGACTTTTAAAAGAATTATGGACACAGTATAATGCAGCTGGTCCCACAGGTCTGATTTTGCTACACACATCCCATTAGCAACAAAGTAGTCAGATTTTAAGATTAAAACACTTCTTATCAAACCGCATATCACTAGCACCTGGATTATGAATGATACTGAAAAGTGAGTAGTCTAATGAGTCTCTGTGTTTTCCAGAGATTTCAGTATGCCACACCTTGAAGAGATTGATGATAAAGGGCACTGTTACTCGGATCCAGAAGCCTATTCACAATGCCTTCTAGAAATTTTGATAGTTCTATGTGTATTATGTATAGAACATATAGCAAGGATGTGTATGTGTGTGTGTGTGTGTGTGTGTGTGCGTGCATAATATACATATATAAGTGTGTGTGTATAACAATAAGGTTTAAGTCATGAGTATTAATTAATATTAGTCAATTAATTCAGTTATCCTTTCATCCATTCAACAGATGTTAGCACAATGTACACTACTGGGTTTAAACCTGACATATCCTTCATGCCGTGGCTAATATTCAACATGCATTTGGAACACCAGCATCGAGGTATGCTAATGACAAAGAACAGATATTTGCTTACATAGCGATAGTCCCTTAGGTGCACTAGGTTATGATTAAGAGATGGCCTAATTTCAGCATTAACTGATGCCAAACTTAAACTCAAACACTGATAAATAACCTAATCTAATAATATCACAACTTATTCCAATATAAACATAATCAACAGTGTACAAAAATAACATAATTTTGTTACATTCAGATAGAAAAATTGTTTCAAAATCTCCTTACCTCTTGTTTGTACCCCTTTTCCACAGGCTTCACCCGTGCCCATTATTCCCTGCCTGACAGCCTCCGGCACTAAGATACAGGGGCTCCATTTCTGTGGCTTCCACCTGTGATTACAAAGAACAACGAACTAGAAATTTCACCATGACAAATATACAAAAGAAATACTCGAAATGGATGAATTTGAAATTCAAAAACATAAAGACAGTAACTAAAATAAAAACAGATTTGAAACCAATGTCATAAAATGGAGCTTTGGCATGCACTAGAGATATAGCTCACTCTGCCTCAGATTCATGGTTAATGCCATAACTCCGTTTTTTTCAAATGTGGACATGTTACACAGAAACCTTCGTTCATATAGCAAAGTTGCAATAAACAGCATTAGAAGCACAGGTCAAATCTAGAAGGCTTAGCTCTTTTGTGAACTTAAAACTGTTAGAAAGAAATGATATGTCCCATTGGAGCATTAGAGAGCCAAGTTTTGAACATCTGAAAATCACACTTGATTTTCTGCTTCACATTTTTTAAAAGGTGTTTCCTAGCACTTGGAAGTAACTCAAACTCAATTGGTTGTAGGGCAAAAGGCAAGCAAGAGAGGCGCAGGTATCTGTATGTGATAGTCTGTCTTAAAGAAGAGGATTAATCTGCCACTGACGAATGACCAATATTTCTATTCCTCTGAGGAAATAGTCTCTAAGGATGCCTCTGGCTTTCCTTTGTTTTTTCCTTTCTTAGGTCAGCAAAACTCTCTATTTTTATGACCCACATGACAGACTGTGGCTTGTATTCTTAAACTTGTCTCCTCAGAATGTTCCCCAAAACCTAAACCTTAAGTGAAACCACAGGTTCTGCTCCTTTGCTTAGTATGTTTTTACACTTTTTCACACAAGCCAATACCTCTGATAAGAGGTACTACTTCAAAGAATGAAACAGAAGCATGAAGTAAAATATCATTGCCCAGTCTTGCAAAATGAAAAAGTTTTAGAGATTTGTTGCACAAAAATGTACATATAATTAACACTACTGTAATATACACTTAAAAATGGTTAAGATAGTAAATGTTATGTTATATGGTTTTTTTTACCATAATAATAATAAAAGTCTTAGAAAAAGAAATAAATGTATATCAGAACATACAGTACACCTCCTTTGCTCAGGAACAGTCATTTTAAAGGACTCTCTTAGTGATGTGAACATAGCTTGTTATAGTACTTGGAGATTAGTTAGCACAACCGGCCATTAATATCATCACTCACACCTTCTTTCCCCACTTTAGACCAATTGAGTCTCAGGTTTTGTGGACAATTGGAGATAAGTGAGGCAAAAGTGGTCTTAAGGGAGAGATACAGAACCATCTTGCAAAATCAAGCAAAGTACATTACATTGTAAATGTGAAAAGAATATATCATTGACTCATTCAAGTGGCCTCCATATTGGGAAGAACTGGGGAGAAATCAGGAAGCAGTTAACTCGAAAAACCTGTCACATTTAAATAAATTACTTATTAATTTTAAGTAGTTCTAAATGTACCTTGTATACGCATAGACTCATGCAGTATAATTCCAAAACACAGAAACTGAAATGGTAAAGCATGTTAGTCCAATTTTTCAACTAGGACATGCCATTCATTCAGATCTCTTAAACATACATGGGCTTTCTGGACCAAAATGAGACCAAGAAATTCAATTGAGTTGAGTGTTCTGCATAGGCTGAAATAGGAGGAAGAAATGTTCAGGACTCTCTTGGTAAATTCCCCGTGCTGGGATGATAAACCTGGACTCAGAGAGGTTAAGTGGCATGCCCGAGATTGCCCAAGTCAGGGAAGGGCACTTGTCAGCCCTAAATCCTTGGATGTCAAGACCCCATTGCCAATTCTATAAGGATACTTGCCAATGCTGTCTTCCCTTTTCCTTACTAACTTAATGTGTTGAGAAATGTTCAACTCCACAGAAAAATTTCTATGAACACTTTGATTCTGATTTAATGTGTGAATACATCACCTTAATGGAGTCAACATGAAGAATCACAAGATAATGATAAAGGTCTACACAAACTTGCCTCCCTAACGAATCAGCGAGGGAGGAAGCAAAACCTAAATTGGGGCTGTATTATTCCAAATTCAAGGATGTTTTACTAAGGAGTGGAGAATCATGCTGATAACTTGGACATATGCTGAAGAACACATCAGTAGAAATGATACAATGATTCCATCCATACACAGCAGAACTGATTTCTGGGGAAAATGGCAGGAGGTCAATGATGGAAACTAGTTCAAACATGAGTGGCTAAATTGCAGTGCAGCAAGAGAGAAATGAGAGTGGACAAAAGAAAGGAAGAGCCCACTAACGGTTTCTAAGATTTTCTCTGATTGCAATAGCCCTGGGTTCATAAAAATGTCTAATAATATTTGATTTGGCTAATTCTTCCAATCGGCTACTATTGCTGAGAGCTCTTTTTCTGGGCTCAGAAGTTTCAATATTTACATACATGGCACAAAAGGATGACTATTGACAGTGTTTCCACCATGGCCCTGTGGCTAATGAGGAAAAACTAGTAGTCTGGGCATGTTTCCAGTGTTTATCTACATCGTCCCCAAATTGGTCATCTTATAGAAACAACAGGAGTAAAAGGATGATTAAATCAATAGTAATTTAGATTTCTTCAATGACACCCTAAACTTTATCTAGTCTGAGGAGTTTTCTTAAAAAAGAACACGTATTTTTCTGAGTAAATTAGCTCTTGAATTTCACGGCTTCTTAAGCAATCTGGGCAGACACTAGGCATTTTTGCTAAGTGCATTTTAAAGTGTGCTGATAACTTTATGCTTTTTAATACTATGGGCTTTTTCATAAATCAGTAAAGCTCAACAGTGAATTTAATCCAGATGTCCTTTAAAGCAATGTTTCAATCCAATGTTAAAAGAGTGGAAGTTTATGACTAAACACACAAACCTCAGGTATTGTTTATATAAATAATAATCACCAACCCGACAAAAAGGAACATACAGGTTACATATTAGTTGAAAAATTACTCATTGTCTTAAAAACATTATCTATTTTAAACTGTCTTTTCAAAGTAGATATTTTCTTAAAGTGTATATATTATTCAAACTAAGAACCAAAAACATTTTTGAATTAAAATACCTATTAAAGAAGTATAACTTTGATTCTTAGTTCTTGATAAAAGGCTTTAGGATGAGAACAATAGAATGAGGTATGTTGTGTGCACATGCGCATTTCAGGTAAAGACCTCATCCTGAATCTCTTTGGATCCTCATCTTGAAAATTGATTGCCTGAGTAGCAGAACTCCAGAAGCTCACTTGTATTCAATGTATGGTTGCTTCCTTTTTCCTGATAATTAGATTTTCATATTCTTTACCCCTTCAAAATATATTCCAGATAAGAGGGGGAAGCTCAGAGGTATTTGAAGGTAAACATTACCTTATCTTATTTCTCACTGAATAACCATTAATAACCATTAATTCATACTAAAGTCTAATAATTGTTCAAAAAGGTAATTCATTACCGATACATAGGGCACAATGAGATATCTTCACACTCTCGCTCTTCAAATAAGGTATCTGGGCATCCTTGGCCTCCGTTGGCTGCTTCTTGGATGACAATTCTGTATCGAGATTGTTTTATTGTGGCATTTCCTAAAGTGAAGAAAAAATAAAATTAGAGTGCCCTTTTATGTGGATGCAGAAAAATATCCAAGGTTAGGTAGCAATTCAAAACAAACAAACAAACAAAAAAACGGTGAGGTAAGATCATGTGGAAAGACTACCTGGGAAACGAGAATTAAAAGCAAAGACCAGGGGTTAACACTCAATCTTACTTCTAGAGATAGACCCTTTACACTTAATAATTGTGATTTCAAATCTGTGTTCTAATATGCTAAGGTTCTTTGCCACTGCCTTAATATGTTTGAAATTAATCTGAATTGCCTATGGCAGAAGAGTTAAACAGCATAATCTGAGAGGTCCCAGAAGCTGCCTTTCATCTCAAAACAACAGCTGGGGGTCTAGAGTTTTACTAGTAGCAAATCACTCTCTCAGGCAAGGCATTTCCCTCTCTAGGCTAATTTTTACAATGCAAACACTCATAAAAAGTGACTACATTAGTAACATATTTATGGGTATTAGTTTAGATTTCTTATTCCTCATAATCTGAGACAGTATTATGCAACTGAAATTTAGGAAAGAGGCACTAAATTGTGACCAAATATTGTTTACTTCATGGTTTTGCTAAGAAGCAGAAGTCTTAACAGGCATCTCAATAAAAAGACCGCTGATGTTCACTTTAATGCGTTGGGGCCATTTATTTTATAATTTTTTTTTTTTCATGCAGAAGCTGAACCAGCAACTTTGCTGTTAAGAGCACACGCTCTATCCACTGAGCCATCCGGGTGGCAGCTCAGCTCAAGGTGCTGAGTTCAGTCCCAGCTGCAGGTGGGCGTAGCCCATCATGTAACAGGCAATCTTGTAATTAGGAGCACGTGCTCTTACCAGTGGAGCCATCCTCCCACCTGTTGGCAGCTCAGCTCAGGCGCAGCACATTGGCCCATGTGGGAATTGAACCAGCGACCCTGTTGCTCAGAGCTGGTGCAAACTCTTAACCAACTGAGCTACTCAGCTGGCCCTATAATCTTTATATGCCTTCTGAATCAACAATTTTATCTATAGTGTTTAGCAACCGTTTCAATTACCACATGCAACATATTGCGTTAGGTATAAAGATACAAATTCTTGAACTTACAATTAAACACAAAGGGGACAGATAGATGAACAATTACTTATGAGTCATTGTAGAGTGAGAAGTGTCAAACAGTGGTGTAGTGTCAGGAGAAGAATAAAGCATAATCATTTGTGTCTCTGGAAAGGAGAGACAGCTAATGGAGGGGGCAGAATTTATTCTGGGACATGAAGGCTAAACAGGAAAAAAATGTGGAAGGCATTTCAGGCCAAGGAAATGGTTTGAGAAAATCTACTGACACACAGGGTGAATGGGATTTACAGAGAAAGATATGTAACTACAATCAGAAGGCAGATGTGTGTGCATGGCTCATGTGTGTATACATGCGGGGATTATAAAAGCTGGAGAAAAGGGGAGTGTAGCAGAAAATGGACTTACTTTGTAGGTTTGGAACAGATAATGGACCTAACCAACTATGTTAACAAGAAAAGTTTTAGAAAGCCTGTAAACTAAGTGGAGTGAAACAAAAGGGGGAGGAAAAGGAGCTTTTATTAAAATTATTTATTCTCATGGTTTTTTAAAAAATCAGCAATACAAAAAGATGAGAAGCAACTGACCTACAATCATTACCTGTCCTCCTCCCCAAACATTATGAACTATTTCTGTATTTAGTTCTTCTGTGGTTACCTGTAAATCTATAAATAATATTATGTAATTACTTTTTGATTTATTAACTTTAGACATTATCTATTAACTTTCTGCTATAATTGATGAGAATTTACACCACCTTTCAATTTTTTATAATTACATCACTATTTCTATGCATCTACTGGTTGTCTAAAGGCTCTAAATAATCCTTTTTTTTTTCAGTCCCATTGCTCACTCCTGTCTTTCATCAGACCAGCCACCGATGTTCTAAAGAATCTTCCTGGGTAGATGGCTTCCTCATCTACTGCCACCCACATTCCTAGTAAGTTAGGTCATGGCTTGTGTGATATCATCAGTTTCTCTACTCTTCAGTCTTTGTTCATTTTAAGTCTTCCATAAATGAGTTTGGATCACTCATCCACTGATAGTCCTCTTCTTTTTGAAAAGGAATTGGACTTTTAAAATTAATTTCTATCATTTTGATGAGATTAAAGGAAGGAAAAGAGACCAACATATTTGTACATTTCATGACCTTGAACTGCAAGTTAAGGACAGATATGGAAACTTTTCCATCTGCTCCCTTTCTGCAGCCTCCTTCAAGGCGCTCTGTACCATGGGGGCTGACCACAGAAGGAGTGTATCAGTGGTCCCCTTGACCATTGGCTTCTGGCTGGTCCCCTTGACCATTGGCTAACAGGGGATGGGACACACAATGGAACGAAGAAAGGTGGCAAGAGGAGAGAGAGAAATCAGGTTATTTATTCCACCAGCTTTCATCATCTGGATCACCTCAAGTTGGTTCCGCACTGTATTAAAAGCCACAGTTTCTATGGAATGACATTTTCCTACAGCTACTTTGTCTGAGCTCTACTAACTGCTGCTTCCTCTATCAGCTTTCAGGATCCCGGCTGTCACTAGCCCAGGTACTTTGAGTTTACATGAATTCTGCCCACCGCTTTGTAAATAATCCATTAAACCTTTTCCAGTTTCCCCATGTGAGTGAGCCAAATTTTTTCCTGTCAGGAAATGCTTATAAAGTCAAAGGAGAGATGTTACTAAGTATTTCACAGAGAGGAATCCCATAATTGGTTCCTTCTGAAATGTAGTTAAAGCTCAGTAAGGGATATAGTAAAAGAAAATTAAAAAGAAAATGTAATTAAAACAACAGTTGTGCATAATAATATTAAAGCTATCTTCATTTGGGTGGGGACAATTTTTGTTAACTAATTACGCTTTTAGGAAAAAAGTCTCTACTGTCAGCTAATTTCAATTACAATATGGTTACTCTGAAAATTATTGTTTACCTTTAGGTTGTGCACATGAGTGTGTGTGTGTGTGTGTGTGTGTGTGTGTGTGTGTGTGTGTCTCCAAGTGTTATCTGAAGAGACAGGAAATGAAGATTAAAGACAACAACAAAAAAATAAAGCAGGTGGCTTTACCTCACACTGAGATAGGAGAACATGACCAATGCCTGTTCCTTCAATTACCTGCACATGCACACACGCACACCATACACAAAAACACAGTGCACACTCACACACAGAGCTTTCTGCCTTATGGTATAATTCTAGGTCAAATAATTCAAAGTTTGGGGAAAATATTTACATTGATTATCATGCCCTACAGATATTCATGTGAAGGTTGAGAAGGGGAAGACTGTGGCTTTGCAGGTGGAAAACATCTGCATTACATACATATGTAAAATGTGTAGAAGTTTCCAGAAATTATTATCTTAATCTACATCAGCTCCACTTCTGGGCATTTTGCATATGATATTTCATTTTATTATTACAACACTGTATGAGGTTGGCATTATTAGTATTATTGTTATACACATTTTACAGGTAAGAAAACAAAGGGAGGAAGAGATAATTTGCAGTCACCTAGCTAGGATTAAAACTGCAGCTAAACAGACATCAAAACCCATGATATTTTTCATAAAAGAAACTTCATAGTATGATGAAGAGAAAGAGTGGAACATTCCAGGAAGTGGTCCATATCACAGGGCCTCTGTTATTCCCAAGGGATACCTCTTCCTTTCTAATAAACTCGTCAATAGCAGCACCCTGTTCGCAGAAAACTTCAAGTGTCAATAAAACAGTATCTGTGAGGCTTTGTGAATGATGCTTCCACCCTCACTAGTCCTATGACAAAATGACAAAATTAAAGTGCCTGTTTACAAACATAAACTGCTCCAGCACGATTATGGCTAATAAACAACTAGTGTAAATTCAATTTTGACTTATATGTATTTTATCATTACTAAGTCATCAGGAACAATTACATTTGTTATTAATCATACTCAAAAGAAGTAACCCTTCAAAAAAATGGCACCTTAAAGATCAAAAACTATGTTTAATAAGAAATATATGCATGGGCTACAAACATGGGGGAACATTTACAGATTCTTTTTCCTGGAAAGATGGTAGCAGGGCGGAGAAAATCAGTATGTATAAAGTACATCTGGGTGACTCAGGGCCAGGTGAGCTGGATTTATCACACTGCACTGAAGAATCATGAGTGTTAAGCCCAGGTGCCACATTTTTTTTTTTATAATGATTTGAAGTAAAGAATTGACCCCCTAAGTTTCCAATTGGTTTGAAATGTGAGAGTCTGGGAAAATCAAGAAGTGCATGTAGAGAACGGTGAACCTGAGCACGGCTGACAGGAGAGGTGGGGTTGGCGATGACACCAGGAGATGTACAAAGCAGATGCACGATGGATATGTATCAGCAATGCGTGGTGCTTATGCCGACACGGATCTGCAGAATTCTGATGACAGATTTTAAAAATATATGATCTGTCTGCCTTTACCTTGTTTCTCAAATATCTCCATTAGTAACAGATCTGATAGATCTCGATGACTCATCCTGCTTTGTGACACCAATAATCTTTGAGGCTTATTGCCTTGGACCCTTGGTTCTCACCTGGTACTCTCTGTCCTCCTCTTCCAGGTCACCATTAAACAAAGAAAACTACAAATCTACTGATGAGTCCCCTCTAACTGACCTTGAAGCAAAATGATGGCCCCAGTGATATTTAAAATTCATATCACATAAACAATCACACAATAAATATTTCCCAGGGTTGTTATAACCCTAGTGTGTGTTAGACCTCAGGCAGTTCCTTTAATCATGCTAAACCTTGGCTTCCTTGGCTGTAAAACAGGGCAAATGAAAGTTTCTATTTCACATGATGGTTGTAAGAATTAAATGAGATTTAATTCTTGCATATAAAGCAGGTACAGGTTGCTGGGTGTGAGGGTCTTGTCTAGTATAATATGAGTTAAGGAGCGAAGGTGAGAAGAAAGATT